TCAGGAAGCCCGAGGCCCGAGTTCCCAGAACTGTGGATAATAGCCAAGACTCCTTCCACAGCAACAAAGTGAGGAAGATGTGGTAGCAGAACTGTTCACGAGAGACAAAATGTAAGTTCAGGTCTCAAATGTATAGACAGAGGCCAGGTTAACGTTTTTCTAAAGTTTTTCCAGTCAAAAATTGGATTCAGGTCTCCCTGCTGGTCTATAGTGGTCTCAGAAATCACCAAAAACATAAAGTGGCCACAGATTAAGAAGTAACGTGGATGAGTGACAAAACGTTTTTCCCACTGAAAACACTACGTCAGGATGAACAAAATCAAATTTTTGGGATAAAGGAGCCACAGATGTATTTCATTTCAACTCTCTCTCTCGAAGAGGTTCAGGAGCCACACATGCGGAGGATACTAAAAATATTACCTGCAGTTTATGAAAGTAATTAGTTCCAACTGAAGAACTGATTTGTTCTCATGTGAACTAAACATCGGCTATACTGTAGGATTATTGACTAATGATGGGAGCTCATGTTTTATAACCTTTCTCTCATCTTTGAAAATGCCATTTCAGAACTTATGCAATTAAGATGCTTGGAATAATAAAGCAAAGCATGCTTTACATAAGGCTAAGAAACAAACCAGTTGTATCTGATGTCACTGGCTGAGTTCTGTAGTAGTAATTGGAAAACGAGGAGGAAAAACGTTGCAGTTGTCTCAGCTGATTCCGATTTAAGTATGACTTGCCAATACAGACTTTTGACAGCTTACACAAAAAATAGACTTTCTCCAACGCAAAACACTATTTTGATAACAAAACAAATTATTAAACTTTAGAATTTACCCCAAACCTCAGAAGGTTGCAGGATTTTCTCTCATTAAAACAATTATTAACTATTAATGTACCTTACCGTACAAAATAAGGTGCACCTATACTGACTTGTTGCTGGCTCTAAGATCCAAATAGCTTTAGCTTTGCCAACTCTGTTAGCTTCTTTAAAATGGCCATGTTCAGCTGGGTGATTCCAGCGTCTTATTTAATTTGTTGTCGTGAACATTTCCTCCGCACATCTTGGAACTTTGTGTCTTCACTTTAAAGTAATGTTATGCTAACATTATGTTAGAATGTGGCTATGAATGTTTTCTTCTCCTTAGCAAGGTAAAGCCATTCATTCACATTTAGGAATGCAATACAGTGTCTGTTTTTTGCCCCTTAAAATGATACTGCAGCAATTTCACCGAGCCTGGTTAGTGTTTTATGTGCAGCTGATTTAGTGTGTCACAAATAAACATATGTGGTGGTACAGTCTAAAAGTTTCAGTGTTACTACGTGCGACATGCAGTCGGAGGGTTGGTGGGGCTTTGCCGACTTTCTGAGTGGGAAGTGTGACAACTGTGGGGTCTTTCAGTTGAAAATTACGACTTAAAACTCTGGATTTCCAGTGTCTGACTTCAGATGTTATGCAGCATTAGCACTGCTTCACACTGTGTGGTTTTTAAGTGCATGCCCAAGCAAATGGTCTGTTTCTGTACATAATAGTTCTTCTACATGGCCCAGGGCCTTGAAAGTCTTTCAGATTTAATGGGTACAACATATAATGCAGTGTTCGGGTAAATAGTGTGGAAACTACCACACCTTGTTTGAATGCACATACCTGTGGTTTACAGCCGCACAGGGCTTAGCTGGACAGCACCTTACTAATTCTTAAGTCAAGTCTGAAGTTGAGGATAGCTTGTACATAATGGTTAAAGTGGGATTGTTTGCAATGGAAGTCAGTAACACAGATTTGTTGCTCTCTGCCAGCTTGACTGAGACCTTTTTTTTTTTCTCCTAAAGTAAATATGCATGAGCTGCCAAGACCTACTCAGAGACTGTGGTCCTCCCAAAAGTCTGGCTCATCCAGCTCTAGCCAGAAAAATCAGAGATTCAGAAAGTGAATAAATAAAGTGCTGCACATTATTAATATTTCAACATTCTGAAACTCTCACACAGGGAGAGGAAAAAGCAAAAAACAAACAAACAAAAAAAAGTTAGCTGACCAGCAGCGGACAGTAGCAGCTCCCAGGTGCGAGAGAAAAAGCAGTCATGCTGTGCAAAACCTCTTCCTTGAAAATGGAAAGTACAAGGCTTCCCACACCTGCTCAGTGACATCAGATGTGTCAAAAAGAACAAGCGACTAGTATTTAAGAGTTGGCAGGATCAGGTTTCTTTACGTCACGCTGCAGTGGGAAAATGTTCAAATATAAACAAAGCTGTCAAAGTCTAAATGACAGCGGTGACATGATTTGTCACTGTCATGAGAGGACTTTTAGCTCAAGATTTGATCTCATTTGCAAAGGGCTGTTTGCATAATCGTTTATTATATTGTGCTGCCAATCCTCTCCTGCTTCCCAAAGGTTAATGATTTGCTTCCTCTTGCCAGTTCTGTGTGAGCTACTCTAAAGGAATCCTAAGAAACAAGAATAGAGAAGTTAATTTTTAGACACAGACTACACAGTCTGAGGTAATGCATGCGCTGGAGGCAAATAAAACACGAGTATTTGGTCATCGCAGTGAAGTGTTTGAGTCAAAACAGATACCACTGTGTACTTGATATTAAAGGAGACTTCCATATAAGCATTTTTTTAGTGGGTTTAAACTGTTATCTGTCTGAGGTTAGTGTGTGTGTTTAGGTAGATAGTGTTTTATGTCTCCAGTTATTAAAATAGCCCTTATAACAGGAGAATTCATGCTGCAAATATGGCACTAAGTGTTTTTCTGTCCAGTTTTTGAAGAGATTATGTGCAGATATTTAAGTTCCCAGAGGAGGAAGCCTAATGACTCCAGTAATACTTTATATCCAGATAAAAATCTCAACTTGGGGACTATGTAGTTGGTTGATTTGGTGATCAGATTCCACATTTATGACACTGAGAGGATGAATCCTTGAGACTTTTTTGGACATCTCCTGTCGCGCTTGCTTCAGAACCTGTAAAAGGTTCACACACCATACATAACAACAATAACAAACCTTTTCTACAGATTTTTGAAAGCATATTAATTTAACTTAGTTTTACCCAAAGGCAATAAAACATGCAGGTAGCTTCCTCAGTTTCTGGCGGTAGAATGTTTAGGTGACACAAAAACCCCTGGAGACACATAGTTACCAGGTCATCTTATACCAGGTTATAAGATGTTCCACCCTTACTGTTTAATATTGAAACTATAAGCCTGGCCTGCAAATCCATACAGCTACAATAGTTGGGCAGCAGAAGTGTTTCTGTCATTATAAAAATCCATCAAATGCAAATTGGGGAAAAAGTGTTATGAAAATACTGAAACAGTAGCATTTGTATAGCTACATGTAATATATTTTATTTATAAATCAAAACAACAGTCTCCTCTAGGTGCCTCATATATTATATGAATTCCATCAATGGTGCCAAATTTGAAATTGTCAGTAGATAAAGGTAAAGGAAAAATGGACTTGATGATATCGTTCTTGAGTAAATACATCTGTGGCACGGTTTTAAAAAATCCTGTGAAGCCTGCTTTTCAAGCTAATGCATTCACAAGGTTTTCAGTAAACTTGACCTCTGATTTTGACCTTGAAGTCACAGATTTTTAGTAGGTACATCTGTGGTGTCAGTTCCTGCTACCAAATCCTATGTCAGCTAGTTCTCCAGTTATGTTCCCAAAGTTGCCTGCCTGCCTCCTTGCCCAGCAGGGTGACAACAACACCCTAAGCTTTTCAAACTGAGGTGTCAAAATGAAGCCAGTGCACTAGTCCTATAGAAATCTATGAGAAAATGTTTTATTGACCTGACCTTTGTCGGGCTGCTGAATTTATGGGATCGTTAATTTTAGGACCTACTGAAATCTATTTTGTAAATCTTGCTCATGCCATGATTAATCGATTATTTGTGGTAGTTTTATTTTCCTCAAGTGGTTTCACGTTCAGACCCGTCCCTCCTCGTCACATCTGTTTTTTTTTTCGTGACCAAGATCACGATGACAGAAACTCATCTTGGGGGTTTTAAAACAGGACTTCAGTAACTGTGTGTGTCTTTTGTATCATCTGTGGGCTTTCCCCCGTCTTTCTAATTTGGCTCTGTGTTCTGTCAGAGGGCTACCCCTTAGTTTGACAAGGTCATAATTTCAATTTGTTCACTTAGTTTAGGACCAACTGTCTTTAAACTCTGTGACATCCCCATCAGCCCGTAGCTGTGTGGGCGCTTTTGTAGCATAGATGACACTCTGAGCATGTCACCATGCTCCGCTTTGTCCAACTGTAGCCTTACAGATCTTGCATCAGCATTATGCTTTACTGATATGCAGTGCAATCCAGCTGTACATATGCTCAGTGTTGATTTTGTAGAGATTTGAGGTAAAGGCTTTGGTCTGTTTGTTTTTCATAATTCTGGCTTTGTATGTCAGCACATTTGATTTGTGAAGAAACAATGAAGATGCAATTAAAGTCCTGACTTTCAGCTTTAATTCAAGGGACTAAGCTTCAATATTGCATTAACTGGTGATGGGAAATTATTCATTTGTTCAATTAGATTTCAGTCTCTGGAAATAGTGGGGATTGTGTATAAGAGACAGGCTGGAATTTCTAAATGGTTGAAGCTGTTTTTTTTATTCCGCCACTTAAACCTGAAGCGGAGAATCAACACTTTGGTTATGTTTGGTTCGTTTCATGTGTTTTTTTCTGTACCACAGTTTTGTCCTTGTTCCGGCATTTCCAGACTCTTACTGTAAGTGTTTTTGGTTCATTTGCACACAGCCTTTTCAACCATCTGGGATTCATACAAGCAACCACATTAACAAATGCGGTGTAACTGAAATAATTCCAAGATGATTCCCAAGAAAAACACATCCATCGGAGGATTAAGCAGTGGGAAATGTATCTGTCAAAACTCCAGTAAATCCAGCCCTTTTGTCTGGGTTCATTTGTTTTATTTTTAAGTTTGCACTTTGCAAGCCTTAAATCAATCAAATGTTAACTTTTATTTTTCTTATTGCAGCGTTTCATCCAGTACCTGGCCTCCAGAAACACTCTGTTTAACCTGAACAACTTCCTGGATAAGGGAGCTCTGCAAGGTAAAGCACACACAAACCCCTGTGAAGATCATTCACAGCACAATTTCCTTTCAGAGAACCAGATGGGGTTGATTTGCCTGGAGGTACATCACTCTGAACACCATAATGTTTCTGATAATTAAAAAGAAAGTGTTTAAAAGTCAAAAGTAGTGTCAAAATATTATTTATTACTCACACTGAGGATATTTCTTTTCCTCTGACAGTTTGTTTTTTTTGCTCCACCAGGTTATGACATGTCAACCTTCATCAGGCGATACAGTCGCTACCTGAATGAGAAGGCCATGTCCTACAGACTGGTGGCTGTGGATTTCACCAAGATGAAAAGAGGGTAAACACACACACACACTGTCATCTTTACTCTTCATTTCACACTTATCTTGTCACACAGCCGGAGACGGTGTTTATCTTTTGGCAATGCACTTAGAGAGAAGCAGTAGACAAAGACAGAACTAGCAGTTTCTCTGCAAAACCTCAAACTTGGACAGCAAACAAAGTTTTTTCGCTTTTTTGTTGTTGTTGTTTTCTTTACAGTTTATCCTGCGAGACATTTCAGACAAAACTGAACATTTTTCTGTTGCATGCATGTGAAATATTGCAGAAAGGGAAAAGCGCAAATGTTGCATCCAGCTTGCTGAAATAAAGAAATAAGCCATTAGAATTAGGACGGGAAAAAACAAGCACACAAAACACAAGTTGCAGCTAGTTTTCAGTCAACTTGAGTAGATTTGTGGTTTCCATAGACTGCACATTGGGGAAAAAATGGACTTCCGCTCCTGAAACCTGGAGCTGAGTGATTGATAATATTAAATTCTAGAAAAATCCTGAATGAATTGGAATCGCAGTACTTCACCAAGAGAATGAAACTATGTAGGAAGCATATAAAAGGAGAATAAGAATGGGCCCAAAAATGTTTCTGTATCTGGCTGTAAACATGTTTATGTCTGCTTTAAAGTTGAATATTTTAACGTGAGAGTCTCACTTTTGGGCCCACTGAAATGGCCACTAGAGGAACTGGAGATTTATGGGGTATTCAGGGTTTTTTGGGGGGTTTTTGTTCTTTTTTTCCTTCTCTCTCAACTAAACCTTTAATTGCAGCCGTCGTATGCAGATTATGACACTTCATTTGTGGTATTTTAATCCCTCAGCTAAAGCTTTACAGCCTCCCTGGAGCCCTGTGTTTTCAAGTGAAAGTGGGTGCATCTGAAGGTTTTGTGTGTGTACACAATCATTTCAATTTCAGAAAGTCCAGCCGCGGTAGAATGACACTGAATCTGTGTCACGCTGATCCAGCTGAGCAGAGTCTCATTATTTATCAGAGAGTGTTTTCAGTCTCCCATTTGTTGCACCTCAAAAAAGTACTTTGCACTACTGAGGATGCTTCAGTGTGCAAAATATCGGTTCACTTACTACATGCTTCGCATAGTTTTGGATCATCACTTCATTCCTTTTTTGTGAATCCTCTTAATTTGCATCAGAATTTAAATTTTCTCCACAAGGTGCCCGCTGTAATTGTGTGTTTGTGTGCGTTTTTGTTTCCTGTTTTGTCAGTATTGACGGCGTGATGCGCACCATGAACACAGAGAAGCTGATCAAGACGCTGCCCATCATCCAGAACCAGCTGGACGCTCTGCTGGATTTCCAGGTACTGAGTGTCTTTGTGTGCTACATATGTGCGCGTCCTGTGTCAGCCATGCTTCGTTCACTTTCTCATCAAAATGTAAATTGAAACAGTTTGTAAAGTTTTGAAATGCATTGATAGGCGTATTAAATAAAAAAATCACACTATGGGGACAGATTGCACATCTAAGTGTGAGCGTCTAGGAAGGGCACAGGAGGACTGGGTGGGGACTCATTGGTGAGGGTGCTGTGGTTTGTGCCAGCGAGCTTCAAAGAGTGATAAAAATGGATGGTTTCTCATTGAAATGCATACTGTGTGTGTATTGAAGTAGTGTGTGTGTGTATGGAAGTGATGGTTTTTTTTTTTTTTTTTATCCCCTCCACCTAAACTAAATTGACATTTTGCTCGGTGTGTGGTGATGTGTTCACTTCACGCCGAAGGGGGAGAGGTGTCGGTATTTGAAAGAGATGCTTTATTTTTCTGAAAAGCTTTGGAAAGATGTGAGAGCGATGCCTCCTTCACCCTTTCACTCTCTCACTCTCAACCTCTCTACCTCTCTTCTCTGTAGGCCAACCCTAATGAGCTGACCAACGGTGTGATCAACTCAGCCTTCATGCTGCTCTTCAAGGACTCCATAAGGCTGTTTGCTGCTTACAATGAAGGGGTCATCAACCTATTGGGTACACACACACACACACACACACACACGCAGGATAAACAGCGAGCTTTCTCTCCTACATGTGTCAGGAATGATGAGGTATATCTGCAGTTTGTTTTTTGTGTGTTATGCGTGTCCTCACACTCACGCTCTTGTCAAGCAGATGTATAAAAACCCTCTCGCCAGCACATACACACACGTGTGCGCACAGTAGGTTTTGACAAGCTGTCATGTAGCTGCCAAAAGCGTCTTTTTCTACAGCCGATGAATGTTCCTGTCTTCTTTACTTCCTCCTTTCCTTACAGTACTGTGTAAAAGTCTTGAGCTACCCCTCATTTTCTATATTTTGTTGGGAAAATAATGTTTCAATAATTGATTTCTTGAAACACCATGTTGTAGCCATTTCCCTCATTGCCGAGGTTCAAATTTGGCAGTTTTTATTTTCGTGAACGAGACGCTCTCATGACTTCTCGAGTGACAATACTGACCAGCTAATCGGTGGCATGCAGTGTGACGACATTACATTTTAGTACCTGGTTGGATTGTTTGGAACAGCAGCCAAGCAGGTACTGAAAAAGTACCTGATACCAGGTACTATGACCTAATGGAAAACCCTGCAAACCGTGGTGAAACTGTGTGCCGAATCGATCCAAGTAGGTACTAATGGAAAAGGGGCTTTGGACAAGGTTTCTTGTCATTTCTTTAAGCAGTCTTCAGGAATATTTCTCCAGGCTTTTAAAGGACATTTAAAGCTCTTCTTTGGACATTTCTGCCTTGTTCCGTTCTCAGTCGAGATGATCCCACACTGGTTTAATAAAGTTGAGGTCCAGGCTCTGGTGAAGCCAATCCATGACTGATAGAGTTTCACTGTGTGTTTGTCTATCATAGTATGCTTTTACTGCATTGGGAGTGTTTGGGGGATCATTGTCATGCTGAAAAATGATGCTGTTATGAATGAAACAATTTCCAGATTATATTGCATTTTTCATCATAATCTGATGATACTTTTCTGCGTTCATAATTTCATCAGTTTTTAAAAGATCCCCAACACCACTGAGTGAAATGCATCTTCAAACCATGACAGAGCCTCCACCTCTCTCCTGACCTGAACCTCCTGATTTGAACCAAAAAATGTCAAATTCAGATTCACTGCTCGATCAGACCTGTTGTCACTGATTTTCAGTCTATGCCAGCCTTGTAATCTGACATACCTCAGCCTTTCCTCCCTGTTTCCCTTCCTTAAGAATGACTTCTTGACAGCCACCTTTCCACTGAGACCATTTCTGACGAGGCTTCAGTGAACAGCAGGTCTCTAGTAGAACTATGTCAGGTCTTTGCTGGATTTTTATTTTTCTTAAGGACATGACTTTCAGATACTCTTCAACTGCTGTAAACAGTTTTTCAGGCCTGTCACTTCTTCTTTTGTCCTTCATTTGTCCGGTTTGCTCAGATTTGCTGGCATATGACAAGTTGTCGGCTAACAGCTCTTCACCTCGTTGGTGCAAAAATGTTATTTCATGCCTGTCAAACTGTGTTATCACTGGCCTTTTTTCATAGATTCAACTAAACAAAGGCAAACAAATGATGTGTTTTGGTGACAGGCAAGTAATAAAGTGCCTAAAGATACAATTTAAAATTGGTTCTCTCTAAGCGGTCTCTTTTGTAAAGACACAAAACTAGTCCATGCCTTGATTTAGGTGCATTTGTTAAGTGGCTTAAACAAGAAAAAAGAATGACTGTGAAAATGGTCAGGTATAAGGACTGGACTGGAAGTGAGTGAAAAAGCAGCCAATGTCCAAAGAAAGAACTGTGAAAGACATGTAGAAAACCTGGAGAACTATTACTCAAGAAAACTTTCCAAAGTCTGGCTGCTTGGTAGACAAACGTGTAGAAATGAGGGGTGGCTCGAGACCTCTGACTTTCGTACTGTACTTCACACTTCTGTCTTCCTTTTTCCTTTTAAATTTGTATGTCTCTCCCTCTCTGTAGAGAAATACTTTGACATGAAGAAGAACCAGTGTAAAGATGCCCTGGACATCTACAAGAAGTTTCTTTACAGGATGACGAAGCTCTCAGAGTTCCTCAAAGTGGCAGAGGTATATTTTTCCACGCAGACACCTTATTTTGAAGGCAATTTTGACCATTTTCCTTGAAGGTTTCTTTAAAAAACAATACAAAAAACAAACTTTATATGTACATAAAACCTACAGATATGGTGAACCAGAAGTGCATATAAAGAGGGCCACATTTTTGCTCACACAGCTACTGTACGCTCTTCAAACCAGAATTCCTAACTTGCCCTCCCAGCCCCACATTTGCTGCACACACTTACATATATATGCACCCAAAATAACCCCGAAGATGGAGCATGTGGTTAGGCGCTCCGTTAGCTCGCTCTCCCTCTGCTCCCCACACTCCTCCATCTCATCCTTTCTCCTCCCTCGCTCTTCCCTCCGCCCCTGACAGAGATGGATACTCGTGTGGCTCTCCTTCGCCCAGCGCCTACAGATCATCCCTCTTTCTGTCTTCCCTCTGGTGCCCTCTCTCTTCCATCCCTCCCGGTGTTTCAGCAGACTTGAAACAGTGAGATCAGCTGCTGTAACTTCCACATTAGTGGGTTTTATCTTCTCTCCATTAATGTACATAAAAAAATAAATGTTCCCAGTCACTTTCCTTTTGTCTTTTATAATTGGCATTTGAGTAGCGCTCTGAGCTATTCATATATTTTTTTCGCTTCCATGTTTTACATGACATGATTCAAACATGTAGATTTCAGGGATTTCCAAGCCATCTATACAGTTTATGACATATCCATAAATTAAATGACATGTTTCTCAGTAGCGAGCTGGTGCAGATGAGTCTGCTCCATGTAGCCATTAACGCTACATCTAAACGATGAGTAGTCAGTGTAGTAAATGTACTAAAAACTGAGATCTTGAGGTGTTACCTTTTTAGTTCAATGGATTGTTGAAGCAGATTTGCACATGAGGGTTGGACATCATTTTAAGAAAGCAGCTTTCCACAGCAGACATTTTTGCTCAGGCCCTGCTGTTAGAAACATTACCAGTGGCTCAGGACTGTTCTAATCAAAGGGAGCCACATGAACAGTGAGAAGACTCAGGTGACTGGACATTAGTCTTCATTAATTCTGAGATTTACCCCTGTTGTCGTGTGATTAGTGAAAAATGTCTGCAGTGTAAAAGGCCTCCTGTTAAAATGGGACCGTCCCATTTTTCTAAACTCTTAAGCTTTCGTTTAATAACTGAAAGCACCTGGATTGACTTGAAATGTGCCCTTGATATTTATGTTTGGTTGTTTTGTGGTAAATGACAACAGGATAAATAACCAAAAGTATAAGTTGGAGGCCAACTAATTAAAATATCGTCTTTGTAAGGCACATGTTTAATTCTTACAGTGGCTGAATCAGATATTATACTGACTTTGGACTGTGGAGCTAGCAGGGTAAAGACTGTTTAATATCCGATCTGACTCTTTTTACTTTAGGATATTTGTGTTCTCTCGTGCAAGCCCACTGGTTAAAGTTGATAAAAGGGGGGAAAGAAAATATGCTGTCTTTCAGTTCTAATGTTTTACGTATCAGGACATAATTTAAAAAATAATCCAGTCCTCAGCAGGTAAACACAACCTCAGATGAACAGCAACATATGACAAATTGCACAATGTCCTTATTTAATTAAGAAAATGAAGCTAAAACACACAGACAGCACCCCAGGATTGAGCAGCTTGTAGAAGCACCTTGAAGGAACTGTTTTCTGTAGGACTTCATTAGTTTTTCACATCATGTTGGAGAAATTTTGTCCTGCTGTTCTTTACCATGTGTAGTCAGTTCATTGAGGCTTGTAGGTATTTGTTCATGCACAGTTTGCTTAAGGTACCACCACAGCATTTCATTCAGGACCCCAAACACAGGAGCGAATCTAAAACAGAATGGCTGAAAAAGAATCAAACTCCTCGTCCTTATCTGTCAGACAGATGTTTGTCTCTAGAATACTTTGGTATTCAGAGGAGTTCATGTTCAGCCCAATGACAAAGTGCCCAGATTGATCACCCCTCCTCCGCCGTGCCTGACAGTTGGTGGAGGTGTTTGTGCTAATATGCTGAGTTTGGCTGTCTCCAAATGTAGAGCTGTGAATTACGACCACACATCTGAACTTTTATCTTGTCTGTCTAAAAGACATTCTTCAGCGAATCTTGTGGTCTGTTTAGATGCAGTTATGGAAACCTAAATCATGCTGCCGTGTTCTTTTTAGAAGGAAGACACGTTCTCCTGAGAGTCCTTCCAAACAAGCCATACCTATCCAGTCTTTTTCTAACTGTGCTGTCATGAACTTTAACATTTAACATGCTAACTGAGGCCTGTAGATCTGAGATGTAACTCTTGGGTTTTTGCTGTTTCTTTCACCTAGGGGTGAGTTTGCTGGGAAAGTTGTTAATTATCTTTCTCAGTGTAGAATGATGGACTTTGCTCAGGATTTGACTTATAATCATTGTCAGCAGTTGTTTCTCTAAGATCATTCCTGATGTCTTTTGTCCTCAGTCCACTTACTTACAATGCAGAAGCAGCGTAAGTAGTTTTTTTTTATTTTTGTTTTTAAATTAACTACACAATATTGTTGCTGTTCATCTGAGGGTGTATTTTAATCTTTTAAACCCTGCTTCAGACCAGATCATTTATTTATTTAAATGCTATCCTGGTCTAATAATTTAAAGAGGCTGTACATTTTTCTTCATTGAATAAAACAATCTTCAAGTAACAGGATTAAACGTTACTCATATTTTCTGTTGGTAAAGCCTGAAGGTGAGTTTGACAACAGGTTTGAAAGAGGGGGGAAAATAAGCTTGTTTATGTCGTGTCCTAGTGTTTTGGAGATGGTTTTGGTGCAGGTTATGGCGTCCTTTATGAGTGTTTTCAGAGTTATCACACCATCCTTCATGCCTGCTCTCCCTCATCGGTCAGACATGTTTATCACTGTGCAGTCATTGTTGTCATTCACTGTTGAGATGTCAAACTTTTTCATGTTTATTTCTGTTTTTGTTGACACTGCCGCTGCATGAAGTAATGATTCCCCTGTTTTGTTTTGTTTTTCTTTTCTCATCCTTTTATTTTCACCAAATGGACCCCGCCCTCTTTATGCTTCCTTCTCCATTTTATCCCACCCCGACCCCTTCCTTTTTTTTGTTTTTCCTTTTGTAAATTTTGTTTTTGACGACAGCAAGTTGGAATAGATCAGGGTGACATCCCAGATCTCTCACAGGTCAGTGTACATCTCACCGTCCACCTCTCTAATTCCAACCTTCTCACCTTTTTTCCCCCCAAAGAGTCTCTCCTGCAGCACTACTTCTTATCTCACTGCTCTCTCTGTGCTTTCATCCACTGACTCACACTTTATTTCACCCCTGCCTATGCCTGTTTCTCCCTCCTGACCAGTTGTTTACTTCCTTTTCACTCTCCACCCTACTCCTTTTTTGTTTCTTTAAAAGAAAGCTAACCTGAATTTACTGTTTGAATCCAGGCAACTCCCTTCTGGTATAATTGATTTTGCTTTCCTGCTTTCCCTTTCACTTCTAAATGCTCGTTACAGATAAAAAAAAACAAAACAAAAACAGACTGAGCTGTGTTAAAGTTGGCCTGCTTAAGCGCTCCGGGCCATCGGCATGCCTGACGCTGATTTAAAAACCCCAAACAATGAGCTTTGGACCTTGAATCAATAAAATTAAAGTTAATTGCAAAAATGAAGGGCTTAAAAAAACAGGACAGCAACAGCACTTTTCTAATTGTCAAGAATAAATTTTCCTTTTTGTTTGTGAGTTCAGTGGAATCGCTTGAAGCGTTGTTTTTATCCTCCCCGTGGTTTATGATCGAACATCAAGGACATTGTTTGCTTTGTTAGACTGCTACCCATAAACACACATTATAATTCACTTCAATACCGTTAATGACCTGTTTCTGTTTGTTTGTGTGTTTGTTTGCCTTCTTTGTAGTTCTAAATGTGTTAAAAATAGAAGGCCCGTCCTTGGATTCAGTGGAGTGAAATTGATCACCAAGAGGGCTGCAGCTAATGATTGCTTTACCAATCCATCTGTTGGTTGTCTTAATTAATCTGTGTAAAATACTGCAGTAAGTGGCATCGTTAATTGCTTCATTTAGTTGGTCAAACAGCAAAAACTAAACAAAAAAATCGAGATTATTGGGTTTGTTGCAATAATATTTAACAGGAAAAAGGCCCAAATCCCCACATTAGAGAAGCGGAAACTGTTAGGCTGTGTACTATAGAACATTGTTTTTGAGAAATAATGAAGCTATTAATTGTTTTTCAAAATGATAGCAAAAGTATGATTATCTGGTTGTTTCAGATTCTAAATGCTGATGATTTGCTGCTGGTTTGTGTGATAGAGCATTATTAAAGTGTATGTTTTTTCTACAGAAGGCATTTACAGCGAAACTAGCAGACCTGCTGTACAGTCAGTTAATTTTAGTTACTATTTGGATGAGATCTGCTGTAAAGGGGAAAAAAACCTCAACAATCAGACACTTCTCTGTTGGCAACAGTGGCGAAGAAGAACTTACTTTGAACAGAAGACACCTCCAGCAGGGGCTGCGACTGTAGAGAATATAAATGGTGTTGTTGAGGATATGTTGAACCATCAACAAGCGCATCTGCTTGCCTCTGTTAGCTGCCGTTAGCTTCTCTTGGTGTTTATTAGCAGCTCTTAGTGTCTGTTAGCTGCTGTTAGCCAGTCTGTCAGTGAACGTTTTTTTGAAGTGGATGTAACATTGTTGGACTCAGACACTTAGTGAATAAACTCTCATTTGATGTGAGAATGTAATCAAACTGTTTATCAAAGGGAATGTTTTTTTTGTTTGTTTGTTTTTGTGTTTTTTAACACTTAACCCTAACATTTGCTAGCATAAAGTTAGTTTATAACCAACTGTTGTTGTTTAGCCAACTTGTTGTCAGCGATGCGGAGACAGGAGGGTCCCATGGCTGATCTCAAGCTGCTTACGTAAAATACCAATAATGTGCAATGACTTGTCTTTCCTGGCCACTGTATTCATATATGGTTGGTGAACAAGCTGGCTTCTGCAAACCAGCTTTTTAATAGATGAATTATACGTTTATTAGAAGGCATCAGTTTGCTGGAAAAGTAATTACATACTGTTCTATGCATATTTATGATTACAGTATCCTCTTTTCTGCTGACTGTATCTTTAAAGTAGCAAGTGTAGGCTAAATATGGATGCATGTAATCAGAGACGCTGTCTTAGTGTTGGGTTGTGGGATTTTTTTTTTTGGTATTTTATATAACAATGAGTCAAAATTAACTTGGTATAGAGCAGTTGCTTCTGACAGATCTATTTCACCCACCCGCGCCTTCTTTCATAGCACACAGCCACAATATGTGACTGATCCCAGTGTCATCTAGTTCCTTTGTTGCTGTCACAGTCTCTGCTATGCCTCAGCCAGCTCAGTTTGGTGCTGTTCAAATATCAGCACCATATCTTAGAGGAGAGTTATCAATTGGTGTGTCCTTGGCTGACAGATTTATCCATAATGAAATAATCATAAGCTGCAGCCCTGATTGGATTGACAGTTTATTAAATTGAGCATACTTTGGCTCATAGTTGAAAAAAAACTTGGGTGATTTTTTTTTTTCTTTTTTCTATTTTTGCCTAAAGGGAGGGGGGAGTCTCCCACACACTGACACACAACAGTAAAACTTTACAGCTTGCTGGATCGTGACCTTGGTTATGCATTACTAAAAAATCATTAGAGTGTGAAGCTGGAAGTCAACAGCATGCGAGGTGACAGTGTGGGTGTTGAACTCATAGTAAAACTGCACAGTTTACTGTAGTCATTAAACAGACGTTTTTCTTCTTCCCCCTCCTCTCGCAGAAAACAAAAGGATCATACATTGTAGGTGGTGGGTTGCATACTCTACGCCCCCCCAATCCTGCTTAACCTCCTCCTCCTGCATGAACGTCTTCATAGCATGTGTGTGTGCAACCATACACACTTGCATCTCAAGCCCTCAAAGGCATGCTCTTCCCCTGTTTTTCGAGCGCAGAATGATCTGGTGTCAACTCAGTGCAATATATGTGTGTCGGCCTCAGGTGGCAGTCGCTCTCAAACGCGCACACACGCACACAGCCTTGGCACGACAAGCAAAAGGCCATGAAACCTCATGAATAGAAAATGAAGCTTCACCCCTCCGTCTTCATCTGCATGAAAAGAATCTCTGCAACGGCTTTCGGCTCGGCTCATTTAAATTCCGTCCTCCTCCTTTTTAGATGTTGTTTATTTCATACTTGTCATGCACGACATCATTTCTTCAATACGCATGGTGCAGGTGCTTTAATAGTGAATGACCCGAGCATTACTGTGTAATCACTGTCAAAGAAGAAAGGAAACATCAGAGAGAAGAAAGCAGGGATTCTTTTTTATTCTTCTTTTTTTTAATACTAGCACTTTTTTCTCAGTGCCTTCTAAAGTCAGAGTTATTACTACTAAGCATCTTATGTTAAGAGCAAGGCATGCTCGTGATATGACCCCCCCCCCCCTTTGAAAGTGTGTGTGTGTCAGAGCTAATATTGACTAAGCGCGCACACACACACACACACAGTCTTCTTTTCACCTATTCAGACTCTGCGGCAGTTAAAGATCTTTCTTTGTGCAAGTTGCTGTTTCTTTAACAACCAGGCAACAGTTTGGCAAGAACCCACCGTCTGGCCCGGCCTCCAAATGCCTCTCCTGTGTGTGCGTGCGTGCGTGCGTGCGTGTGTGTGTATGTAGGCCTACTGACAGCAAACTTTGCATTCTTGCGGACGGAGAGGCAGACATGACGTTGTGATATTTTCACAGTGAAAGAATTTCCCCTCCTCTCTCCAAAGCCAAAAGAGAGATGAACTATTCTTTTAATTGCTGCATGCTAAGTATGGACGACTGAAACTCCCACTTATAGAAATTATGAGTTTGGGTCTCTAATTTATTGGACTAGTGACACATTTTGTTTGCAGTCTTGCTTCTGTACACCACCACAGTAGATTTTAAATCACTGAGTCTGTGATTGACTGTGAAGGCTTTCAGAGGTCTAACAAACATTTCGCATTAACTGTTTAAAAATTGCAGCCATTTTTATACATATTACCGTATTTTAGAGGTTTAAAACTGACTGACAGGCACTTTCAGTTACAGTTCCTTGTTATTCTCTAAAAATAAAGCAGACTTAATATCCAAAGTTGATTCAAAGTGTTGAATTTTTATTTTTTAGGCTTTTAACTCATTTTAAATGTAAGACCCAAAGAGATGACAGTGTGAGTGAGGGAGGCTGTCATTAGGCTCTCATACTAAAATAAACCTACCAGAGAGGAATAGCAAGAAATTTCAGTGTGGCAAAATCAACATCTGTTGATGTCCATGAGTTTGACCTCTATTTCCTAAACAGTTTATGCAAAACTGTTCGTTGAATTAAAGCTGAAAGTCTCCCACGTGGTGTTGTACAGACGCAAAACTCGTCTTTGTTGCCTTTTTCCAACAAGTTATGGGCATCACTGAGCCATTAATTGCATCAAGAAAATACTGTAGGCATTAATTTCATTAATATAATGTGACAAATTCATTTATTTGCAAATTAATTTTTATATTTGAAAAGGTTCTGGTTGTATTTTCCATCCCAGTTTACTTTGATGTGATATATATTCATTTATTTCAATAGAGATACTTTCTTTTTCCAGAAATCTATCGTCTTTATCTTGTTTAGCTGTTGGTCTCAATTTTTTTAGCAGACAAAGAAACACGCTTTGAATTACAGTCTACTTATTTGTGTAAATCAGAAATGCCTAAAGAAGCATCAGAGCAATAACAAATACATCATTTATTAAGGGAAATACTTTAAAATAGGAAATGAAGTAAATAAGGAGAATAATGCAAAGCTATGTTGAAAGCTGAATCAGTTAATGTCATTTAATTGATTTTGTTTAATTTTTATGTCCCGTTTAATATAATGTAATTATTTCTAATTTTGGCACTCGTGGTCCTCCGTAGCTCTTACAAACCATTGATTATGCAGCGATAGTGCGGGTGCCTGGCTCGCTGTCGCCTTGCTGTTTTGCTGTGGTCTTTTTTGGCATTAATGAGGCACCTAACGAGTGCAGAAGACATCCTGTTGTGCAGTGTCAAACAATTGGAGTTGAACTCAAAGCTGCAACCGAACTGTTTTATCTGTAGTAGCATAGCAACAGTCCCCAAGTAACCCACTCGCTAACCAGTACACAACAGCTCAAATTTAGCGCTGCTGCCTGGTGTCATTGTACAACAAAAGGCTCTTTAAACACTCCTGGCCTCGCTTTTTTTTCCTAAAAAAGGATAAGAGATGATCTCAGTCTGCAAATGCAATAAATGCAGAGAGAATTAGTAAAGCTACAGCAGAGGCAACTGACAAGTCAGAGGTATAGAGTACAGCCTGGCATTCGTGCAAGTTTGACAGGACGTCGCGGTGTGAGGGCACTGCAAGATGAATAAGACAAAGAGGCAAACGTAGCAAAGGGAAGGCCCGGCATCGAAATGATCACTCTGTACTCGTGAAGTCGAGAGAATAAGGCGCAGCCTCTCCTCTTCAACTTCTTCCTCACTCTTTTTCAACCTCCTCCTTTGTTGTGTCTCTCCTTTGAGTCTCCTGCTAACAGTGTGAGTGTTTTCTGCATGTTGCCTTGGCTATTCCTGGAGCCTGATGTACTCTGTTACCTTCCTGTGAGACCAACTAACTCTGGGTGCTGTTTGTGTCTGTTACTGTATGTGTAGGTGGGGGGTTTTGTTTTTTTGCATGTGAGAGAAACAAGTTGAGCGGATGACTGAATTTCCTCCGTTTCTCCCCTCATACTCGACTCTCAGGCTCCCAGCAGCCTGCTGGAGGCTTTGGAGCAGCACCTTGCCTCTCTGGAGGGCAAGAAGACCAAGGAGCTGAATGCAGACACCAGGTAGACACGTTATAATTGGTCAGCCGCATCAGCCTTTCTCTAGTTTGCGACATTTGCATTTCCAACATATGAAATTTCACCGTTCCTCCTCGAGAGTACTCCCTCGAAAAGAAAAATTGAACACCACCTCTGTTTTGTCCCCTTTCTCTTATGTTTGCAGAGCATCCACCCTGTCGAACGCCGTCTCGTCTCTCTCCTCCACCGGCATGTCCTTCAGCCGCATGGATGAGAAGGAGAAGCAGCAGGCTTTGGAGGAGGAACAGGCCAGATTGCAGGCGCTCAAGGTAACAAATTTTATTCTTTTTGGCCAAATTGTTTCTGGATCAAAGCGGGGCAGACTCAGAGCTGCAGCAGCAGAGAGGCCAGCAGCAGCAGGTCAAGTAGTTACTGCTGTCTCCCCTTTCAAGAGACTTTTCAAGTGGCATCACTTGATTCAATTTATTCGATTTCGTGCAGCTCCCGCCAGACACAGAGCCATTTCTTCCCACATATTCAGTAATGCTTCAGTCGTTCAGCAGCCTTCGATGAATGAATCAGTGCAGGCTTTTTATAGATATAGATATATATATATATAGATAGACAGACAGACAGACAGACAGACAGATATATATCTATATATAGATAGATATATATATCAGATAATGTCATAGTGTTCAGTGTTGAATGCTCATTTTTATTGAACTGTATTAGAGCAGCTTTGCATGATTCCCAGTTTAAAATGATGCTCATCGTTCTCACACTGAGTTTTAATGAAACTTTGGTTGTTCTGTTGTCATTGAACAGCAGACGGTTTGGAGCTCATCCTTTCTCTTTGACCTCATGCAGGCCAAGAGCAGACGAGCTGTGTGACACAGAGCGTGAAACTGATTACGTCTACACATGCTCAAAAAAACCATACCTGATTTTAGCTCCGCCCCCTTCAAAGTCATGACCATGTTAAACTTGTGCAATAAGCCACCCTGAACCTGATGTTCACTTTGAAGATAAGGAAGAAGTCACAGAAAAAGATGGCACATGCCACATGGAGTCGCTGAATGTTTTTCTTGGATGCTTCTGGACATTAGACTAGAACTTTGTGTTGAAAGTTCGATACAGTGGGACAAAATTCAAGTGTAAAACCCAGTGAATCTCATAAATGGACAGGCGTGCTTCTGGCAGCATTCCTGACCCTTGGGCTCAGACACCACACGCTCCTCCACCGTCGTTGCCAGTGATGGTCCTCGACATTAAATTCGGGTCATTTAGAAGTTGGGAGTGATGCAAACGTAAATCAGGTGTGGATGTTGCTTTTTATTGCTGGAGTCGGAGTGCTTGTTATAAGTCTGTGCTTGAAGCTCTTTAAACCCATCCTATAATCCAGCCTGTCTATATGGAAATAAAGAATAATAGCCTCACAAAAACCACCTCCATGACGAGCGTAGCTGCAGTCCTGTCTCTGGAAAAACTCTACTGCAAATCTCCTGCAACATTTAAGCACTTACAAGTGGGGAGGAGAAATAAAATCCATACTGCTCCACTTTGCTTTACCGGTAGAAGACCGGCTGTGTTGTTGTTGCGTTGCTGCTGAAAGATTGTCGAGTAACTTTGGCAAGTTCTGAACTCCCAGTCGAGGATAAAGGCCAGCAGTCTCAGTGGCGAGGTGAGCAATAGAAAAGTCAAGTGTAAAATGTGTTGACGTTTCTTGCTCCAGCCCTGGGAGTCCTGCCTTACAGCAAACTGTAATTGAGTAGGAGCAGTGAAGCTACAACACAGCGACTCGGTGTGTGTGTGCATGTTAAGCGTGCTTACATCCCGGCAGAAAAGATACAGTACGTGTCTCCCAGTGTTGCTGGGATCTCTGTGAGCTTTGTGTGTATCCTGGCAGATTACACTCTGCTATGTGTTGCCAGCCAGCCAGCGCGCCTAGGTGTGCGCTCGCGTGCACGTGCTTGATTGGATTTTAGCACGCTGTTTACTCTGTGCCTTTGGTTGCCCTCCGTTTCTGCCAGGGTCCACTGATTACCTTTTGGGTTTAGTAAGAAAGGAGAGGGGAGATAAAGTGAGAGCGAGAGCATAACAGAGTAAAGAAGAGGAGCTGAAAAGAGAGAGAATGAGCTCTGGGGTTAGCGGGGGTCGTCCAAATACTCTAGTCCAGCTGTCTGCACTCTCTGGTGTCCATATGGACACATGCACTCTCGCTCAGCTACTGTCCAGCTGGGGCCTCAGCCAAAACAATAACAGCAGTTCCCATTTGTTCCTCGCTGCACTGTCAGAATAACGATGAAGAGGACTCGGCCTGGCTGAGCCCGGCGCGGCAGCAGCGGGAGCTTCTGCTTATTAATCCGCTCAAAGTCCAAAATCCCTGAAAGGTGGAAGAGGTTGTAAAGTGCAGTAGAACATTTCCATACATTGAAAGTTCAGGCTGAAGTGAAAATGCCTGGACAAGCACCTGAAAGCTTAAACATTTAAGACGTTTTATTGTCATTATGTAAGCATAACCATGACAGTAAGGCAGTGATCCCTCACAGTGTGTAAAAAGTGTTGGTTCAAGTCAGTTTCTGGCCACTTTCATTCTCTTTTTTTTTCATTTTTATTGTCCATTTTATTTCTAGTTTTGCACTTTAGTTTTCCTTCTTGTTTTACGATGTGATTTATTTTTTGCCTGTTATTCTCTAACGTGTGCCTTTCTCTTATTTTTGTATGCATTTCTCCTGCTGTCTACTATTTATATTTCATTCCTGCACAGTTGGTGTTGAGCACCCACAGTTTCATTGCACATGTACAATGACAATAAAGGGCTATTCTATTCTATTCATTCTATTTATTGCTTTCTTTTAACTGGGAGCACTTTGGTCAGAGCTGTTGTTTCCTTTCTTTTTCTTTTTTCTTTTTTTTTTTTAAACACGCACTATCAATAAAGTATATGGACATAAGTGCATCGATCCCTGTGGAGAAATGAGTTCATTGCCACAGCGAATCAGGGGAAGGACACGAGTGTGAGACGAGAAATAGGCAATAACAACAGCGAGAATGATAAAAGCGAGCGATGTGGTCGCTGAAAACGGCACTCGAAGGTTCAATGTCTTCTGTGACTCGCATGGAGAAACGGATATTAGTTATTTTTATTATCATGCGTTTTAAATTTTAACACAGATGACTGAGAACAGAGTTGCTTGACAGTTGGACGTCTTCCGTTGAGCTGATCCTGTTGCAAAATCTTTATATTAATGCAAGAGTTAAGAGTCTCTACAGCTGCAGGAACACCTTCAGAGTGCTTTGATGATGATTTGATGAATAAATTTTTGAAAACTGCATTATCCAGATGTGTTTCATAACCTGACGGCAGGCTTTTTTACTCCTGTTTCAGCTAAATGTAAAGGCGTGCGCAGCTCAGGCTTCACATGCGTTTGAATTCATCTTCCCGAATCAGCGGAAAAGGCACAAAATTCTAAACCTGTTATTGTTTTCTCCAGTTTGGTTGGACTCTGCTGATGTCGGTGTTTCTGTCACCAGAGAGATCCGCATTCAGCGTTTCAGCAGCACCTGAGTCTCGGGGTCAAGCGCTGCTGGACTTTTTAGCATCGCAACAAAAAAGAATTTGCTGGAAACAATTAGTTTTAAAGTACTTTACACTAATAGCCTGTCATTGTATTGTTGTGTGCGCTGAATCAAAAACAACACAGCAGCCTTGGCAGGCGAAACTGCACAATAATCTGAGGCTGGAAATTCATTTGGCCTGGCTTTTAAAGCCAAGAAGTGACTCTGTAGATCACCAAAGCGTACTTTCTCCTGTGTATTTTCTCTTGCTCATCCTTGCGACACATCATTCATTTGTGAGATTAGATGCCTGAATCAAAAACAGCAACACAAAGCTACATAACTGCGGAGGTTTAGGGTGGTACTTTCCTCTGTGGAAATGTGTATTTTTCTTCAAGTGTACACAGTGTGTCACTTCCCCCGGATTGGAGCTTGTTGGAAAAGAGCCTCTTGTTTATTTCTGTGGGAAATAGCTGTTTAAGTGTTGCCTTCCTGATCACATTGTGCTGTTTTTCACACTCCCGGCTGTGTGTTCTCCTTCCAGGACCAGCGCCTGAAGGAGATCAGCATGCAGACTCCACCCTCGGCCTCCCCCAGCAGCCAGTCGATAGGCAGCGCCAACAACAACAACCACGTCACGCAGACCCCGGAGTTTTTCAGCTCCACGCTGTCCACCAACAGGTGAGCACGCTGCACAGCCAAACACCTCCCTCACACAGAGTCATACTCATCACACTGAAAAGGAGCCATTAGCTTACATATGCAGCGCTTTGTAAGGATGTTCAGTAACGAGCACAGGTGTGCACGTTAACGAACAGGTCGGTGAGGAATTTGCATTTTACCACCGTCCCGTGTGCAGCAGAGATCTGACTTCATGCTGCAAGCAGCAGGTTTTCAGACAAGAGCAGCACATCATAGAGTTCTTAAATGAAACCCACTTGGTAATATGGTAACTGATACAGCACCACTGACCAGCTACAGTGTAGCTCTAACACCAATGCACTGTGTTAGACGGAGACAGGAGTTACTTTGTAACTCATCTAAAACCCTACGCTACAGCCTGACGTTCACCCGGAGAAATGTAACTCCACGTTACATCAGCACAGTCTGCAACACTTGTGATTGGTCCGTTCAGTTACATTGTTTCCTCCTGTGTTAGCAGGCAGCTACTTTTCAGACTGTCATCTGGATGTGATGCACAAGCAACAAATGAGTTAGTGATTCGTTTTCTGTCAAGTCCATGAAACATATGGGCTTTGATTTGAGGGTGATCATGTGACTGACGTGATTTTTATCCTGGCATCCTAGGTGAAAATCAGTGGGAGCGCTGTTGAGTTCACGCTTCTTACATACAGTCTTGTCATTGAAACCCAGTTTGCACTGGCGTGACGTATTGCTAAATCTGTTCTTTAGTTTGTAATGAGTGCAGAGCCAGTATAGGAAGTCAGCAGTGTGCAGACAGACGATAAACACTGTTAAAGAGGAGCTGATTGAAAACTTAAAAAGATGCATTTGAATGATGGTGATGCTGTGAAGATCTAATGTTGTGATCTAACCTTACATTACGCTGTCACTCGTGAACTTTGTGCAGTATGAGGAGAATCGGTCAGGACATCGTCCTTGTTACGTTCTTACTACAGGAGATAGTCCACTGCAGAGAAGTTCTCACTACTGGAAACACTTAAGGAAGCTGCTAGGAGGCAGGACACATGACAGACTTAATTAGCTAAACTGTTCTCACATGCCTGAAATTCAACATCACGCAGACTTTGCTCTGGAGACACGATGACATTTACATTCTTACTCACAGCTCCGGTGGGTGAAATATTAGGGCTGCAGTGGGTTTTAGGTGCTGGTGCCCAGCCACTTGAACTCAACAGGAGGTGCTTTATATTATAATACAGATTTTCAGCTGAAATTTCAAGATGTTAATGAACTTTTTAAGGACAGTAACAAACCCCTCCTCTTGTTGTGCAACAGAGATTAAAAATATATATTTGTCTTCTGTCAGCGTTCATTTTTTTAAAAAAATCCTATCTAACACAACACATCCTTCTCGTATCTCATCTTCGGCTGTAGCGGAGGTAAAGTAAGACTATTTATTCTCAATAATCAGAACAGAATTTAGGCCCAGTGTGCACGCTCTAAATTTACTGCTCCTAACTGCTTTATTGCTCTCTGGAAGTTTTTACAGCCCTTCAGAGCGGGAGGATTAATCTTTATCTGTGACAAACGAACATTTTTAGTGGTGGCTTTAGCTATTTATGCTCAATTGATTAAATATTAATGCTGCGTCTCCATCTGTCTTTCCGTATCTCTCTGTTCTCTCGCTGACTTACTCGATTCCTGTTCCCTTTTTTTCCTCCCTCTCGACTCATCCTCATTTCTTTCACCCTCTTTTTCTTCTTTTTTTTTCTGCTCGCCTCTTCTGTGGCTTTCCTCTGCTTTTCTCTCCTCAGTGTGCCCAATCTGAACAGTGACCTGTTTGATCTTCAGCCGGCCTTCATCCCTGCTGTGCAGAGCACTCCTTCCATCTCCAACGCCAATAGTGCCTGGGGAGGTACGTTACCTGCATACATACACGTTTTCATTTATTTTTATATATATATAAATATAAATGCACCAGCAGGGACGCAGACATGCGTATAATTCAGACTTACACAAGTTAATTTATTTCTGTAATATCCCCTCTGGCTGCCACTCGAGCACCTGTGTCCATCCATCTATCTGACCATTCGTCATGGAAACCATCCATGCACCATCATCATCGTCTCCACCGTCATCGTGTTTTCTTCAGGGGCTAATGTTGCGTGACCCAGTCGGCGTCTTGTGTTGCGTTCCAATCTCGGCTGCTCAGTACAGAAGTGAGACTCACACAGCGTCTCCTTGTTGTTTGTCGCGGAGGCTGAAAAGCTGAGAACAGACTGCACCCCAACAAATTTGTGTGGAGGGGGAAAAAAAACAAGAAGGTCGACATTTTAGCGGGTGCAATCAGCCGCTTCGGATCAAACTGTAGCGCAAACATGCATCTGTAAGCTGGGCTAGTGCGGCGTGTTAAAGGCTTTATGATAAAGGATTATGCAGAGTTTGGCCACGTTACAGTCAGAGCGACTTCCTCACTTCAGATATGAGCCTTTCACATTATCAGGGACTCTGACCCAGAAGCTCAGATAAATGTCGCCCGTACTTTCTTCAGAAATACCACAAAGCTTACTTGCTTCAGGAAATGTCAGAGAATGTAAGATTACGAGATACTGATCGGGTTTTCAGTCGGGCAATAGACGGAGGATGTATTTTAAAAGAGTACTTTAATATTTGAGGGAAATATGCTTCCCATTGTGCTGGGGAAAACTTTACAGAGAATGTGTGGCTAGCTGAGACCACGAGTTGTAACGTTCCCATTAAAGGGATGCACTGACTTGTCCCACTTTTTCAGCTGGAATGGTCCTTTTTAGGGATTTTTCTCACTCACACTTTTACCACCGTACCAAAAAAGAAATGGTATTCACTTCATTTATTACCATTTGGTTCATTCAAGCTCAGTTTGAGTCTTTCATGATTGCACTAGTGTTTTTTCTCGGCTCTCTGTTTTACTGTGAGTACACCACCTCACACAAGAGACAGGTGAAGTGAAGATGATAGCAATCAGGTAGAAGACGGCTCCTTCTCCCTGCTGTAGATGCACTAAAAGCTTCCCAGTAAGTGTAAACCAAACATAATGAGAAAGAGAAAGAAAGTGCTTTTGTTGGAGCTTTTCAGTGGGTGTCAACATAGTTTTTGGTAAAGCGAAAAGCCAAACAAACAACAACAAAAACGAACTTAAAAGCTGGTGCACTGCTGCAGAAACATGGTATCAAAGGACAGCACAACGTGTAATATAGCTGAATAGATTGGCCCCAATGATGAGCTTTCTGAGCCAGCACCAAACCAGTGTCTCATACAGTATAGATGTCAGCTCGGAGCATCTCTGGGAAATTAATGAGCTTATATCCAAAATGTCAGTGTTCCTTTACATACACGCAAAGTTTTAGTCAGGGAAACTTGTGCCGTGACAGAATTGCCAATTACAGGTGCACAAATAGTAGCATGCTAGTTGTTAAGACCGTCACTTTTTCCGAATGTTGTAAGAGCAACATTTTCCATGCAGATAATTGCATATCTGTGCTTTATGGTGACGTTTTTGGGGCGTATTCTTGTTTTGTGGATCCCACAAAGACACCCGCTCCCCTGAGGCTTCGAGCTCCTAATCCCAGTCGGGGATGCGGAAAGACAAAAAGGTGCGTCAGTGGATTTCCTCGTGCACTGGCTTAACTCTCCGGTGAAAGGCTGACGTCCCCGACAGCCTGTGCAGAATCCCGAGTCATCGAGCAACAACAATAGCAGTACACTGGGGACTGTAGCGCCCGTGCTCCTAATCTAATGGGATTAGTTAAGCAGGAGGTGCTGGAATCCTTACTTAAAGCAAAGCTGTGACTTTGGGCCTGTCTGATGGATGGATGTATGTACAGCTGTTTCCTTTGTAAAAGTGTGCCAGATAAAGCGTCTCCAGCTGCTATCTCGCGCAGCCTAAATAGCACAAACGGTGCTTTAATCAGTCATATTTAATTGCATTCCTCAGGACTGGACAGCCAACCTCTGCAGCAGAGCGGCCCCGCCATGACCGTAGATTTCGATGCTGTGTTTGGGAATAAGGCCACAGCCAGTAACAACGGCCCGCAGCCTGCAGCCGGTAAAGCCTCCTCTGCCTGACTGTCCGGGCAGAGCCAGACTGAACTAAACCTTTTCCATCTTTTTATTATATAACTTTTGGCTTTGCTGGGAACGAAAGCTTAACACTTTACTAACATTCTGACTTGTTTCCTGCGACTGAGTGGGTGTGTGCAGCTTGCTCGCTCTGTCACATAAACCTTTTGTAACACTTCAAACCCAAAGATGACTTCAGAAACAAATGCTTCCAGTATTTTTTATTGTTTAAAGGTGCATTGTTATAACTGGTACATATTATATGTAAAGAGCAGGCTGTTACTGTCAAGTCCAGGATCTGAGCGTGACCTGGACAGTGTGTAGGTAGCAGAACAACGAAAGTCACAGCCATAGCTACTTGATAATCTTTCAAAATAAAATTCATATACATATAGCACCTTTTAGGACTGTTAATGTGTGTCTATGAGGCTGATTTTAAAAGCAGTGGTTGCAGACCACGGCGCAAACGTATGCAAGGAACTTGCAGACTCTGAAATGGTTGCTCGAAAGCAGGGACCACGTCTGTGACCACTCACAGTCAGCTGCTGTCCTCAAAGAGACGTAGACAAAGACTTAGTCTGCAGTTAAACTCAGTTGGTTAAGTTAGTAATTACATGTAATCTGTTTGTGATAAAATGGCAAAGATTGGTGATTTACTTTGATACACGGACGTTCACATTACCTGCTTGCACTCAGAGTCCAGGCAGAACCTCATACATCTAAAACTGCTCCACAGATAGTTGCTGCAGGACAGCAATGTAGCTGCAACGTGACATGGGTACACGGGTAACATTGTTTCTAAATCGGAATATAACCAGAATACAACCGGTTAAGCCAAGTCATTTATTTCAGAGAGATGGGTTACACTCATCAGACCGACTCATATTGATTGCAGTGTTTTGACAGTCTGTTCATAAATTAGACGGTAATTATTTGCATAATAAATCCACGTGAGAGTGACTGGAGCTGGTGTGAGTTTGGAGACAAGTTGCCATCCACCAGTTTATCGTTGTCTGACCCCAGAGAGGGTGGTACACACTAAATTAGTTGGTCACCACAATCGGGCAACCTCATAGATGTTTTTCTAGTCAGAAGAGGTTGTCGTCCTGTTTTTCCTCCAGTGTGATTGAGGCATTACTGGGTTTCTTTAATGTGCAATCTTTTAAATTTGAGCATTTAAACAGATCTTACCAAGCTGGAAGAAAACTGCTGAATACCCTAGTTAACTTCTGATATCATTGTGAGATGATTCTGACAGAGTGAACAGAGCTGAATCTATGAATACACTGTAAAGAATATTGTTGAATAGAGGAGTCATGATGTGTAGGAGGCCATCCTTCAGCCTCCTCGCCTTTTGCTGCTGTTGTGTCCTGCCTGTTAGGGTAACAGCTTTGGACTGACTCTGACTGGCTCTTAAGTGTTGCAGGTCTGAGCCTTTTGGCTCTGAGCCCTCTTATTAGCTTACTTTCCTTTAACCTCTCAGCAACTGACACAATCAATTCCAGCGCTTCTCAACCCTTTAGAGTCCCGAGGCACTCCTGCAAAGCATATAATTTTAAGGCACACCGAGTTATCGACAACTCCAGAGAAGGTACAGCAGATAAGAGCGACTACCTGCAGAGGTCATCTAAAGACTATTTTCATCATAAAGGGAGAGGAAAGTTCAGAAAGAAGTGCAGGTTTAACTGCAGCAATATGGAGGAAGTGTGCTGTGACTTTGTTGGGTTTGTTTTAAATTAATTAAAGTTTTTTTTTGGTGCTTTTATTTCACACTTGAGGAAAGGTACTGAAAGGTGTTTCATGGTGCCAGCCATTTTCACTGTGCTGGCGTCCATCAATCAGCCTCACCGGGATTTATCGTCCAGCTGTTTCGGAGCAGCATTCGCTCCACGCGCAGTTCACACTCGTTGTCGGGACGACTTGATCATAGCACATTTGTCACACAGATTGCTCGTCGTAATCTCGAGGAAAGAATATCCTGAAGTCACCTGGATGAAATGTTGTCACGTTATCATTGTTATCCGGAGGATTAGCTGTATTTGCACAGCTGTAGCGCTGCCTCATCAGACACTCTTAAAGCCGTTTCACTCCAAAGACTGTGAGTTGTGACTTTGCTCGGGAGCTGCTCGCTCTAATCTCGTCTAACCCCGTCAGTCTCCTCTGCTCTGCTCAGATTTAACAGTTGGAGGCGTGCAGCTTGTTTCTGGCTCTGGACGGAGCGACTCTTTCTATTAATAGGGCCTGTGTCGAGGCTGCCACTACAACCACCAATACACCATCTGGGCCACTGGCAGCATCGCATGTAAAATCCCCCTGTGTTTATGTGTGTGCTCATGCATTATGTGTGTATTTCTATGCGTGCTCACATGTGTTTGTGAGTCTGTGCTCACACGTCTTCTGTCATTTTACTCCATCCCATCTGTCTGCTTCTGCTCGTCTGTTATTTGTTGTTGTGGTTCACACCATTCCCACCTTCCTACTCCTCCCTGTATTTCCTCTCCCTCCCTCTCTCTGTCTTTGCCTCATCGTCTCCCCATCACACTTCACAAGGCAAAAATCACCCAGGCAACTCCTTTCCATCTGCTCTCCTCCTCCTCCTCTTCCTGTCTGTTTTTCCTCCCTTCTTAATTAATTAATAATTAATACTTTGCCTGAATTTTGGCCACTCTTAAGCTGTATTTGACCTCTAGTGATCTTTTCAAGATTTGAGTTTTCTGAAGGGCAACGAGCAATTTCTGTTGGTTATTCTAATGAAAGTGCTCTGCCTGCTACTGCTGTGTCTGTGTGTCCATGTTATTTAAATCAGACTTGTAATGCATGCTTACTGTTGTGCTTCACAGTTGAAAATAATCCTTATAGTATCTTACAATGGCCTTGATGCAGCCCCTCAGTACGTTCTCTGTATATGGGAAGCTCTCCCTTGGAAGTTGGGAGGCAGTGGGAGAGAGCTGTGTGCTGTTAGGGATGTTAGCCTCTCACTGATATCATAAAGAAAAAAACACAGTTTGAACTGACCTCGTTATTCTAAACTCTGTTTATTAGCAGCCGCATATATGTGACAAGAAATAAAGTTATAGTTCTGCCCTAATTCTGCTTCATTCCTCTGTTTATGATCTTATTTGGTTTTGTCAGTGCAGCTTTCTCTGTTATTAACAAGCTCATAAAGACTTGCACAAGTCGTCAGTGAAGAAGTCACACTCTTAGAAAGGCCTGACGTTTGTTAGTCGCTTTGTGTAAACTCGTGATGATAATCTTCCTTCTCAGACGGGTCTGAATTGAGTTTTGTCACATTAGCGTGGAAGCTACGGCAGAACCAGATGAAACACTTGGACGGAGATTAAATGCACATCTTGTACTTCCTAAGAGGACTGTGTATCTTCAGTTATTACCTGCATAAAGGATGGGTTAATAGGGTTATGTTGGAAACACAGAATAGAGTGGTCTGATATTATTGAGTTTCCTGATCGTAAAACTGATTTATGATCATTTAGTCATCAGGATTCAGATGTTTTAAAATAGGGATGTGTTAGCTTTAGCTGCAGTCTGTTGGCATTTTATAACATACAATATGTATCAGGTTAATAAGAGGGACTTTTTGCAGGAAGAAGTCGCTGTTTCTTTGTGACCTCATTCAGGGCTTTTCACCAGGGAGAACAGTGTGGTGTGTGGCAGCAGGGTTTGTTAATGTTGATGTACTGTGTGTTTACATACACACTGAAATATAGATGAATATATCAAATATGATGTTAAATTTGGTGTTTTTGACCAAAAGTAATGTATTTATAGGTGCTGTAGATTAAATTCAGGTGAAATCGTTGTGTAATTGTTTCACATTTCAAATGTACAGAGCTTTGTGCTGGTGCTTGGACAAGGAGGCTGTGTGCCATCCAGTGTGTAGGCCTTTGTGTTTGGGCCTTGGCTCCACTAAACAGCACATTAGTTTTCAGCTCTTTTGAGGAGCAAAAGCGAAACTTTTATTAAAAAAAGAAAATCACTTGATTTGATAATAAAAGGGACAAAAGTATTCCCTAACCAGCTGGTTG